GTGTTTGTGTGTGTGTTTGTGTGTGTGTTTGTGTGTGTGTTTGTGTGTATATATATATTTTGAGACATTTGCAAATTGTGTATTTGTTCACATATATTCAACATTTAATGCATCCACCTATAAACATATACAATATAGACAATGCATGAATGCGTGTGTGTACGTGTGTTTCCAAGTGTGTATGCGCGAGTGTGCGTGTGCGTGTGTGTGACAATCGCACGTAATTATAAAACGTAAATTAATAGCAAAACCTAATCAGGCACTCAAATCACAGAAAACAAATCATCATTCACTCATTCACCGATGTTAATTAGCTGATATATTTATAACACACACACACACACACACACACACACACACACACACACACACACACACACACACACACACACATCTTCACAGATACACACCGACAATATTTATAATATTAGCCAATTAACGGAGTAATATTTTGGATCGTTTGTTTGCCTGCGTGACAGAGTTCTAACCTAGCGATGATGTCATTGTAATGTTGTCAGTATTTTTTTGACGTCATAATGATGACGTCATTGTGTTTATGTTTTTCATGCCACAAACACACATTCACACATTCACACACACAAAAACACACACACACGGGCGACCACGAACACACACACACACAAACGAACAAACACACACACACATAAACCAAACACATTCACACAAACACAAACAATCAAACACACAAACACACACACACAAACACAAACACACACTAACCCTTCTTCCAACTTCGTTGTTGTGCAGATTCATCAGCATCCTGGACAGACCTGGGGACTTCCTTGGATGATTCTTCTCCTTCTCCATCACATCCACAAAACCTCCCGAAAACTTGTAGCCGTAGTCCGTGTTGTCTCCGCAACCTGTTAAAAGATGTTCCAGATCATAAGATGTCAAGATTTTAACATTTTATGATCTTAAGATTTCAAGATTCTAATATTTTATCAGAGAAAGTTAATAGTAGTCAGTTTCTACAGCAAAATCTTTACTAAAATAACTTTTTTTGCTAACAGAAAATATAAAATAAATTCAGCCAATTGTGGATGAAAAAACCTAAAATTTATATCTAATGAGTTGCACTTAGCCAGACCTTTTTACCAAAATCCACCTACTGAAACTCCTTATATTAAATCTAACCAAACGAATCTAACCTAATCTACCCAAAGAGACCATGAATCTACCCAACAAACCTCCCCAAATCCACTCGGGTCTGATGGCCTTCTTTGGTCTCTTCTTCTTACTACAACCGCATCCAGTCAGTTCTCCGTCCCTACACATTCTACTAATTGAGTGGACCACACCTGCCGACATCATCGCGTGTAAAAACGCTGATTCTCTGGTTGCTAGTGTACAAATTTAGAAATTTTATTAACTAATTAATTAGCTAATTAATTAATTAAATGTTTAATTAATTAACTCATACTATTAAACAGCAGACGCCCAAAAAGCAAAATTTGAATATAGAATGATAAATGAAATCTGAAATGTTAAAATGATTCAAGAAGTTATTGAATTACATTATCACATGTACTTAAATCTGTGGTGTTTTTGTGGCTCTTCTACTAAACTTAATCAATTTTTCCATTTTTATGCCATAATTATATTTTTTTAATTATCTGTTGGAAAAATCAACTCAACCGCAAATCAACAAGCACCAGCCTCATTTAACAAACTATTAACCAAAACTACAAATTCAGCAGCCATCTATCAAATATAAACCCCAAGACACACAGTGGCTAAAAAAAAACTCAAAAATACCGATAAAATATCTGCAATTTGTATGAAAAACACATCATCTACCACAAAAACTAATCACCAACCACAAAAAATCAACCACCAACCACAAAAAATCAATCACCACCCAGTAAAAACTCAACCTCCACCTAAAAACTACCAAAAAAATCACAAAACCACCCACAGACCTCTGGTAGCCACCTTTCCAAATACAGACGGCTCCTTGGGCATGACCGTACAATTCCACCTCCTGTCCTTGAACTGGTGCTGGCACTCTCCGATACCCATCTGGGCTGCTTTCACCACCCCGATCATGTGGTCCTCGTACAATTGGCAGAATTTCATCTGATGCATCGTGGTGGTAACGATGATGGTGGTTGTGATGAAAATAGTGATTGTGATGACGAAGATGAAAATTATTTTAATTTAATTTATAATTATTATTAATCCAACAGGGCTCTTTCCACTTGACTTTATCTTTAAAATTTCAAAAACATAACGAATAATAATAACATTTTGAAGATTGATTGGTTTATCCGTAATTAACCAAAAAAAATTATCATTTACAATTTAATCTATTTTTAACAAAAAAAACCTAAATGAAAAATGTTTCAACAATGATCACATTGAAGAAAGTTGCTGTGATAATTAAAGTTTTGTAGCCGGTTTGTATGAGCGGCAAACACAATCAACGAATTAAAAAATTGAGTTCAAAGGACTATTATTGCACTCCTTCTAGATTCAGAAAAACCAACACGTTCTGAAGATAAATACGTATCATTCACCACCACCATCATCTTCACCATCATCTTCATCATATTTTTCACCATATTTGTCACCATCATCTTCACCATCATCTTCATTATCCTCATCCTTCTCATCACCTTCATCATCGCCATTTTATCAATCTCCAACCTGCCCATATGACAGAACGTTCATAGTATTACAGGAGAATGTCATCAGTTCGTCATAAAGCTTTCCTTTGTGATGATGGGGATGCTGAGGCGAGCTCTGGTGGGGTACATTTGAGAGACCTAGAGACCTTAGGGGGCGAAAAAATTTGGTGACAACCTTTAAATAACATCAGGGTATTTTGTGTCAGTCCGTCGTATTGTGTGTGTGTATTGGGCTGTGTTTATTTTCAAGTAGGTAATGTGCGTATGGCATTGCGAATACCGATCATTGCGAATACCGATCATAAAATATCCATATTATCGTCGGTATTCTTAAGATCGATATACCAATTTTGTTCTCGTAACATATTTGAGAATATTTGATAAATTACAAAAATTAATTCACCACGCTGATGATGGTGGTGACGACGATGATGATGGTGGTGATGATGATGATTATGATGGTGGTGATGATGATGATTATGATGGTGGTGATGATGATGATTATGATGGTGGTGATGATGATGATGATTATGATGGTGGTGATGATGATGATTATGATGGTGGTGATGATGATGATTATGATGGTGGTGATGATGATGATGATTATGATGGTGGTGATGATGATGATTATGATGGTGGTGATGATGATGATTATGATGGTGGTGATGATGATGATGATTATGATGGTGGTGATGATGATGATTATGATGGTGGTGATGATGATGATGATTATGATGGTGGTGATGATGATGATGACGATGATGAGGAAGACGACGATGATGATGATGATAATTGTCATCATCGTCATGTCTTCGTCGTCGTCATCATCATTGTAGAATAAATCAAATCTCGCTCTCTCCGTTTATACTGGCTTTGTCATTTATTGACTGGGAGCAAGTTACTTGCTGGTGTTATTGTTGTTGTTATTATTATTGCTGTTGTTATTATTATTGTTGTTGTTGATGTTATTATTATTGTTGTTGTTGTTTGTTGTTGCTACTTGTTGTTTCTGTTGTTTTTTGATGATGTTGTTATCATTTGAACCGACATCACACAGCAAACAACAACAACAACGACGACGAAACGAAATAGAGGAATTCTATTACACCATAAGAACAACAACAACAATAACATCAACGTTATCAACAAAGAATCATAAAATCCGTCTGGCACCATAGAACAGCGTAACGTAACAAATAAAATAAAGAACGGCTTGACGATTTCTCACGTGCATGTCGGCAGAACATTGACATATCTATGTTTATTATGACTATGTTTGCGTCTATTATGTCTATGTTTATGTATCTTTGGTCATTGCTTGTGTGTTTATATATCTACGCTTATTTGCTTGATATTTTTATGTTTAATATATCTAGGGGTTATGTTTTGTTTGTTCATTTTACGTAAACATCTTTTCTTTTTATGATTTGTTTAGAGTTCTTTGTTCGTTCGTTCGTTCGTTCGTTCGTATCGTGCCAAACATTTGTAGAGTCCTTCTTGCAAGCAAACTATAGAGACGCTCTTTAATTCATGGCTGTCGGATAGAACTGACTTCAAATTTTTTTTTAGATAAAATGATTCGTCACTTTTTTCCAAATTTAGCAGCAACATTCAAAATCGACTAGATACACTCCAGGTGAGCGTGACTACAATCCAGGTAAGATAATTTTATCCAGTACGTAACTGAGTAGCAGTAATCAAAAATACTGCAAACCAAATAAAACTATGGACAAGTTTTTTTTTTTTTGCTGAATCAAATGTCAGATGGTTGTCGCCTTATTGCTCTCTGAGTCGGTTCTGATTGTTGAAAACATCCCAGACAGATTGATTTTACATACTTGTCTAAGAACAATAGCAAGATCTGTATATCTGTGTTTGTATTTTTCTGCTTCTTTGTTATTCAATGTTAGTTAATGTTCTTCTTTTTTGCTGTTAATTTTTTCTTCTTCTTTGTTGTTAATTTCTATTATTTCAGATGTATTTATCTTTTGTTTTTTGTTGTTATTTTCATTAATTTCTAATTAACTGTTTATTTATTCTATTTTTTATTAATTGGTTCTTTGTTATCTCTGTTTATATATCTATGATGGGTGGACGATATTATGCGAATTTGTTATTTTATCGGCTTTCGATGACGTCAATTTCAGTTTTTTGTATTTTGGTTCTATGTTTATTTGTTTATTATCAATAAGAAAAAGTTCTTAATAATCTTCAGACATTACGAATATTATACTATAAATGTATAGATATATATATATATCTATATCTAATTGTCTTGCAATGTTATCATTAATTAACAGTTCGTTATCTTTGTTTTTATATCAATGTTTTTTGTTTGTGGATGATATCTATGTAGATCTAGCCGTGATAAAGAAGAATTAGTGGATGGTCGATGTATACATGAAATATACAAAGCAAAAACGTACAACTTATTTACACGCTACACACACACACACACACACACACACACACACACACACACACACACACACACGTTTACACAAGCGCACACACACAAATTCCGCAATAAATATTATTATATGTTGTCGCAATTAGCAGTTTGTTGATAGTCAAATAGTAAGTTGTCATTAAATCAAAACGGCATATCATTAACTACTACTACTACTACTACCACTACTACTACTACAGCTACTACTACTACTACTGCTACTACTACTGATTTTACAGCTACTACTTCTACTTCTACTGCTTCTAATATTAAACATATCACATGTCAGGCACAATACACATGATACATGTTTGTCGCACAAGATACATGTTTGTCGCACTATTGTATGTAAAGTTAAACAAACATGTTAAACAAACAAACATTGCTAGCTGCTACACAACAATTATATTTTCAACTAAAGCAACAAATCATTGTTTGCATTTAAATTTCTTGAGTTTTGAGGTAAAAACCAATGATTGAGAAACACGTAAACACGACAATCACACACACAAAAACACTCATTTCTCTTTTTCATTTTCTTTTTCTCTCCTCTCTCTCTCACACGCACACACACACACACATATATACACACATACATACATACACACATATACACACATTTCCCGGCTGCGCGAGATCCTAGGACCAACATAATAAACTAGTTAGTCGGGACTAAATGATAGTTTTTAATTATGGCTTTTGTTTTTAACCAAGGACTCGCACATACGTACGTACGTACATACATGCATACATACACACATAAATTAAGACTCGGATGACGACGGGTCAGCGCATCATTAAATAAATTAATGAACCAGAAACTTTTAATGGCATCTCAAGATTTCACATGCGACATTCGTTAACGAGATTGAAAAAAAAAATATTATTACTTATACCGGTAAGGACTGATTGTAAAAAATGCGAAAATATTGCTTTTACTACAACAACTACTACATACTAGTTACGCTGATGCAATTACTACTAAAAAGAAAGAAAAAAAGAGAGAGAGAGAAAAAGATGGAAAGAAAAAAGATGGAAAAGAGAAAGAAAGAGATATGCTTATAATTTATAAACGCTAATATAATTCAGGGTTGAAAGGGGAATAAATTCTCGCGGTTAAACCTCAAAAAAAAAACAGTTGGAGGAATCTTTTCCATCTTCCTATTAAAGAGAAATTAATTTATCTATGTACGCACGCGCGCACACACACACACACACAAACATACGCGCGCGCACGCACACACACACACACATATTTATATATATAGATGTATGTGTGTGTCTGTTTTGTGTGTGTGTGTGTGTGTTTGTTCAAATAAATAGTTGACCTTCATAATTTATTAACAGAGACCCAAATAGCTTCTAATTAGAATGTTTATGAGGGGAGTAGCACGTACATATTGGCATTTAAGTATGGGCATATAGGTAACACTTAATATGATACTTCATATGATATATAATTTATGATATGATATATGATGTGATATATGATAGGATATATGATATGATATATGATATATATATATAAACACATTTATATATACATTCACACATACATACATGCACACATATACACACACATATACAAATGGACTGAGATAAACAACAAATGAACCAAAATAGAAAATACTTCTTGCTTTTCAAATACCCAATGAGACGAGAACTTTTTGATGTCAAGTCCTTTGATTAACTGAAAATTTATTTCCCATAAATTATTTTCTCCGTAAATAAATGCTTATAGTCCTAATGGAAGTAATATTTTTACTACTATTGCTGCTGCTACTACTACTGCTGCTGCTACTACTGCTACAACGACCACTACTACTACTACTATTACTACTACTACTACTACTGCTAAAGCGGCGGCTACAATTACTACTACTACTACTACTATTGTACTGTACTACCACTACTAATACTGCTAAAACGGCGGCTTCTGTTACTACTACAGCTGCTGTTACTACAACTGCTACTGATAATATTAATAATGATAAATAGCCATTACAATCAATACTTATATACTACTTTGCTACAACATAAGCCATTAACTACTACATAAATGTACATATACTATGTATATATTCATATATCAGTAATTAATACTTTTCTACTCCATCCTATACTTCATTCATTAGTACTAAATTTCAACAAAAATTTCAACAAAAAATATCAAATTATACATAAAAACCAAAAATTAAGACACTTAAAGTCAATAGATAAAGCGAACGGTTGAAACATAGTACAAAAAAGTAGCACAAAATAACAAAGTACACTCAATAACAGAGTACACATAGCAACAAAACTAACAAAAGCAGAAATGAGAGGTGAAAAAAGAAATGTTAAAATGTTGATCAATGAACGAATAAATACTATTCGGCACTTCCTACTCCGCTGCTCTATAACCTCAGGCTATTCACACTACTACTACTTCTACTGCTACTACTACTACTACTACTACTACTACTTCTACTGCTACTACTACTACTTCTGCTACTACTACTACTACTACTTCTACTGCTACTACTACTACTACTACTACTATTTTTATTATTATTATTATTACTACTACTACTACTACTAAATACAGATCCTGCTACTACTTACTGTTAATGCAT